TTTTTTTTTTTTGCGTCTGGATGTGATGTGTAGTACTGCAGCCAGCCGGCCGCCCGGCGGCGCGGCGGGAGGGGGGGGGGGGGTTGGTGGAGGGGGGGGGGGGGTATGGGGAGATTTGTAGCCCGTGCCTCTTTTAAAGTGGCCAAGTTTGAAAAACACTGACCTGTTTCAAGGAAGCAGATCTGCTACATCAACTGAAAGATAGCCTTCTACTAATACATTGCCTGGCATCTTTTGGCCCCAGGCGGCTGGCAAACCCATTTTGTCTAAGGGTGGCAATTTCAGGCTGCAATTCTTTTCACTTTTATTTAGCTGAAAATAAAGGCTAAAGTCTCGTCTCCTGCCAGAAATACAGGAACTAGAAAAGGGAAAATTATGAATCTAAATTTTAAAAATCGAAAACTTTAATCAAAGTATCGATTTATATCATTCTTGCCCAATGCTGGGCCACATCGATGGCAAAAGTATTCCCCACCAGCAAGTCATAAAGGCTGAATTAAAAATGTTAAGCTTCTGTTGGCTTTAGCACGCCTACTGCAGTTTGCTAAAATATTCAACTCCGTCTAAGAAAAAAATAAAACAAATAGAATCTCAAAAAGTTCTCAATTCTCAACTGTCCCCCCGCCCCCCAGTAAAAAGAGGTAGAAATTTTGATTTCCTGTGATTTCATTTTGACTCCACCCAACCAGCTTCCTGACCCTGTTCTAACCATTCTACAGAAAAGATGATCTGGCAACTTTACCTTATTTTTTTTCCTCAGTTGTACAACCTGACCTAAAATGAAGAATGCAGCCTGACCAAACATGGTGAACAGTTAAGATCTGGGAGGCATTTTCATCTGCCTGCTTTCTGTCCTTCTTTAATTGTAATTAATTAAAGCCATGTTGCTTTCGGTGTTTGGGGTAATGAAAACTGCTTCGAAAACAATAGCCTCTGCTTTACCATCCTCTCCCTTGATTGAGATTTTTAATGGGACATCCTTCCACCAACGTTGCTGCAGATCAGCAGAAAACTTCATTAGCAACCCTATCACCCCAGGGTTTTTAATGCATTTTTCTCCCTTCTGATTCTCAGGAGGTCTCAAAGCGCTTTAAAAACTGCCCAGAGCAGAAAATCCAACTGCACGCTTGCCCACAGATATTTCACCCACACCTCAGTCTATCCAAAGCAAAACCCCCAAGATAGAAAGACTATAGGGGGTTTAAATGTATTAATTTCTGAATGATAGATGGATTTCCCATGAAGGAATATAGAAAAGGGTTAGGAAAACAGCATGCCCCGGGGTTCCCTGAGCAGAAGGGAACCAAATATTTGCACAACTCGTCTGGCCACAGCAGAATGAAGTCAGTCCAAAAATACCCGTCCCATTTCATGGAATTTTCCCTTGCCTTTGAGAGAATTTGAAAGTAAATTCTCATGCATCCAACTGAATGAGAAGGGCAAACAAAGATGGAGTTTTTTCCCCCAGGCGCTACAAAAACACAGATGAAAACACAGAGCTACATAATAACCACCCAAACCAGAACAAGGTTCACAGAAGCATCATATCATACAATATTTGAATTTTCGGCCTGATGCGGAGAGCCTCTTATATTCCAGGAATCCCTGGAAAGTAAAGGTATGGAGAACATTGGTGAAGGACACGCCAGTTAAAGTCTCCTGTGGATCAAGCCTGTCTCTTGACTACTT